TAAGGTCCAAAATTATAACTTTGAAAACTTATATATATTGGCCTAAATGAATAGTTTGGCCTAAAAAAATTTTTCGTGGTAATCAGATTTTCAGTACGATATTTGTGTTAAAAGCTATAAAGCGATAAAGTTTGATATAAAAATCAGATAATCATATCGAACTGAAATTTCATGAAATTTTGAAGGATGCTAAAGGTTGGAAATATTATTTCCATATTTTAGATCAGTGAAATTTAGCATGGATCGGTGGAATTGAAGTTAATTCTTCAATTTTTAACCAAATAGTGGAAATTCAGTGACCAGAATGCAATTTTCAAAAATTTCATGGCCAAAGTAGAAAGTCAAAGACAAGTTGATTCATCTTTAACTATGAGATATTTTAATGGAAGATATTTCGATGGAAAATGGTAATTATCATGATTCATTGATGGCAATTTTAGGATTTTCCATAGATTGAATTTTATATTCAATTTAATTAGTTTAAAGCCATGTGTAATATGTGATAATTACTAGAAAAATTATCAAAATTTTCAGCTATCTTCTTCAAGTTGGCTAAAACTCCATAGCTCAAAAGGTGATAATTTTCAAATTTATTTTTAGGCTTATTCGATTGACTTTTGGGTTAAGTTATTAGATAGATAATTAATCCTCTTGAAACTCTCTATCATTTGGTATAAAAATCACATGGAAATCGTGCTTAGAAGTTGATATTCATAAATTGGGTGGTTGAAGAACATGTTTGATTGTGAATATTTGATGGAAGATTTTTATGTTATTGAAGTTGTTGAATAATTCTAATATATGAGTTGTAATACCCCAAATTTTGGTTAGTGACCAAAATATAGATTTTGAAAGTTTAATGGTAAAGTGGAAAAGTTTAGGGACCAAAAGGGTAATTTTTAAAAGTTAGGTATTTTATCCCGTAAATGAATAGTTTAACCCCAGGAATGACGTTTTTGAGGGAATCATAATTTTGATCCGAAATTTGTGCTAAAAGCTATAAAATAGTAAAGTCCGAAAGAAAATCGGATGATCAGATCGAACCAAAATTTTACAAAAATTTGAAGGATGATAGATAAAGGTTAGAAATATTATTTCCAAATTTTATAACAGTGAAATTCAATGTGGATCATTGGAATTGAAGTCGATTTTACATATTTAACTAAAATTGGAAAGTTTAGTGACTAAATTGAAAATTTTGAAAATTTGCAAGGGAAAAGGTGGAAATTGGATTTTTATTTATTCATATTTGAATTTGGAATATTAAAAGGGATGATAATGCAATGGAAAGTTGAAATTATCATGTTTCATTAAGGGTAAAATGATAATTTCACATTAAATGAATTTTAAATTCATCTATATTAGGTTAAGCTAAGTGTATTATGTTTTAATTGAAGTAAAATCAGAAATTTTCAGTTTCTTCTAGCCCCAAAATGTGCACCACCATAGCTAGAAGGTAAGAATTTTATTTTTTATTTTTAAGCTTATTCGATTGATTTTTGGATTAAGCTATTGGATAGGGAATTAATCCCCTTGAAATTTTCTATCATTTGGTATAAATATTACATAGAGATCATGCTTATATGATGAGTTTGGAAATTAGGGTTTATGTAGGATTTGTTGCTTTTGAGGATTTGATGAAAGATTTTTATGTTTTTTATGTTGTAGATTAATTCTAAAGCTTGTGTGATTATTAAAACTACTTGAAATTGGGTGAAATTCCATTTGGTCATGACCTATGGTTTTGAGAAAATTGTGATTTGGTTAAATTATGTTAGAGCTTTGATTGTAGAAGCCTTGAAATGCTTTTTAGAGGTGGAATCCATGCTTGAATCAAGTGAAAATCAAGAACCCTAACCACTATGATATTTGACCCTGAGGAATTAATTGGATAAAACCTGTGAAAAAATTCCCTAGGCTTAGAAATAGTGTTTGAAAGGTTCTACAAGCTTTAGAAAGTTATTTGGGCCATGTTGAAAACATTTTGATGTTTCGATATAACAAATTAAGTTAAATGAATTTTAAGATTTTACAAATGATTTTCTAAAAAGTATATTCGATTTAATTACTCGAATATCAAATTATTACTCCACGTCTTTTAAGATCAATTTCAAACCTTACTAAATGTGTAAAATTGTGTTTTATACTTAATATATTTTTGAAACAATTTTCACAAAGTATTTTGAACCAAAATCAAGCCTAAAATCAATTTTTCAGAGTGATGCACCGATGCACAAATCCATGCATCGATGCACCATGAATTAAATTGAACATTGAATGCATTTCATGCATCGATGCACATACCATGCACTGAGGATTTTATGAAAACATCGAATGCATTTGATGCATCGATGCACCAGCCATGCATCGATGCACTCTGGCTATTTTAAATCATCGAATGCACTTGATGCATCGATGCACTAAGGGTCCAACGGTCAAAATATTTGAATTTTACACTGATGCACCATGGGTATGCATCGATGCACTGACGCTCCCAACTGTTTTAATTAATTGTTTTCACACTTAAACGACTCTATTGACTCCACTAATCATCCCCAACGTTCATAAGTGATTCAAGGTGTATTTAAACAAGCTTATAAGCCATTGATCAACAAGTAAGAAACATCAAGCAACTAGAATCAAGAGATAATCAAATAGAAAGCATCAAACCTCAAGTTTGAGCATTTCAAGCCTATTTTTCATTCAATATTCATTTTGCTTTCAAGAACACTTATTGTGCTCAATCGTATTTATTCTTGAGTGTTCTTTCTTTGTTCTAAAATTGTGCAAACATATTTGCCTTGTGAGGTTTTTCTTGTAAGTTTGCAAATTTGTAATCTTCTCTTTGAGAAAATAGTGTTCTCAAGAATTGGGGTATATTATTGAGGGAGTTGTAAGGTTATCTCTTTGGCCTCAAAAGAAAGAACAAATTAGTGAATTTGTTGGAAAATCCTTAGTGTGGATAGCTAAGGTAGTGGACGTAGAATTTGGTTGATAAAGTCGAACCACTTTAAATCGATGTGCAATTTCTTTCAATTTTCTGCAAAAGCTTCCACAAAATTTTTAATTGCCAATTCATCCCCTCTTGGCCGATTCCGTCAATCGATTAACTCAACAGGCCATTTTGTAATTTTATGAAAGTTGGGGTACCTATTTGACAATTATGGAAAATTATGGGGTTTATGTGAAAATGTTAGAAAGATGATGTACTATGCTGGAATTGAAAGTTAGAATATTGAATTTGATGTTAGAATGTGAAATTTGATTATTTTGGAAAGTTGGCAAGGTTTGAGTACTAAATGGAAAATATTGACTCAAGTGGTAATAGTGGAGTTCTTGAGGGCTGAAAATTGGATGTTGGAAATTTAATTAAGTTGTTTGAAACTTGAATTGAATCTAAAAGGCAAAAGACTATTTGGAATAAAATGGAAAGTTGATATGAATTCTAAAAGAATTCATAAATGGTAGTTAAAATGGAGTTGAAAAATGTTATGTGAAGTTTGGGTGAATTTGGATAAAAGGGAATTTATTGGTCAATTTGAAGTATTAAGGTCAACATTGATGATGTGATATGAAATTCGTATCCAGTAAGCATTGAAAGATTTTTAGGAATTTATTTTCTATTGTGTGCCTATGTTAGTAAGATTCTAACATGTTTTTAAATGTATATGTTTTGTAAATGGTGTTCATTTAGAATATGATTGAAAACAAGATCAAGCAATGTTAAAGCTAAGGAGAAGCTTAAGGACGTAATATGAAGTGCTAGGAAGGTTTACAAACTAAAGACACTAGGTGAGTGCATATTTAATTCGTATTTGTGTTATCGAGCAAACATTAGCTTGCGATGAGCCAACGATGGAATTGTTATGGTAATAAGTAACTTCTAACTATTATGTGAATTGTGATTCATACATATATGTTTGGTTAATATGCTAATAGAATTAATGAATAAGCTGAAAATATAAGTTAGTGAAAATTGCCCAAATTTGTGTTCTGAACAGTAAGTTCAGAAAATTATCAAAAAATATACAGAAATGATTAGAGGACGATTTTTACACCGTTGGATTCGTATATTAGTATAGTTTCATTTAAAAAACGGATATTGATTTCTATAGCTATACAAAAAGATATGAATTTTTAATTGATGATAGGTCAAAAAGCAGGGCAGTAGATTTTGCTCAAAACAACTTCTATGGGTCAACTTCGAAAATTCACTATAAATTGTAAAATATGAACTAGAAAAAAGTACCTTATATAGTTAGATTCGTATTCGAGTTTAATTTCTGGTGGTATAAATGAAATAATTTTTAAGTGTGTAAATTAATACAAAATAATATTTCTTTGCAAGTAGTGCATATTGACAGCATATAAAACTTGTCATAAATTATGTTTTCATGTCACTCCTATGTTATAGGTTATTATAAATGCTTGAAATAGGTCAAATTTATTACAATTGGTATGATAGTTATGATATTTATTACATGATAAATATGATGTTTATATGTTAAAGAAAGATAATTGACGATGATTATGGTATATAAATGTTATGTGGAAATGAAATATTTAGGGTATGAACTGCCCATTATGTTATGATATGAAGAGTTGGATATTGATATCTTTGATAATTGAATAATATATAATAATTCATGGAAAATCCCATTGTACGTTGCATTGAGAGTCGTAGGTACACTTGACATGCCAGGAAGTTGAGTAAAGTTCAAGTTAAGTTATGGTACATTCATGTACATTATGTATGGCACCGTTGGTGCATATGATATGATTTGCACTTGGAGTGCACCTTATGTTGATGATTTGGCACTTCAGTGCCTAGTGCGCACATTATGTATGACTCGCATATCTTGCATTCTCATAAATATACATTGAGTTGTGAATTTGAAAACAAGCTATGAATTTAAAAATAAGTTATGAATCTGACAGTAAGTTATGAGTCTAAAAATGAGTATCCCTGTCATGCTTTGGGGAGGAGGATGACGCCACAATAAACAACAGAAAGCTACAATTCCATTCATCAGACGAACAATAAAAGATTGTCACAAAAAGTATCTGCTAAATATAGCATGGACGGTGAAAATCTAGTAAAAATTGAAATAATTGACCCTCTTTACCCCCCAAAACGTAACAGATGGAACAAACAGAAAGCAGTTTTTGTTGCCTTGGACAACACAAGATTAGCTAAATTTACAGGGGAATTAGAGGGTTCAATTGAGCGAGAAAAGAGAACCTGACAATATCAGCTTTCATACTTGCAGATATTTTCGAATCCCATGTACTCATTTCGCTCAATCTTCCCAATCATGTTTGATATGCCAACACCACCTAGCAAAACAAACCCAACAATTGTGTTTTTGAGAAGTTTAAAGTAAGAAAAGAAAAAGTGTTTTGTCAAATCAATTATTGAACATCGGAGCTCACCTAGTGATATTGCACTAACAAATATTGTGGATGCTAGAATGAAGATGATCAAAGATGCCCTTCCAAATAAAATTATCATCCTTCGGACAATGTGTTGCCCGATCAGGGCAGCAACGGTAGCCACCATGGTGAAGTAAAGAGCTGCATGAGAAAGTAAGGAATAAGTAACTTCCAGAAAAATGTCGAACAACAATATCCTCAAGTGGTGGGAAGATTAACGACGACACCATGCCCTACCCCACCACATCCCTTCAGGTTCCAGTGTTCCATTCAATCAGTTTCCAAATAATGAGAAGATACATCAAAAAAAGTATCTTGTTGTTCAGTTGCCATCTTACCATAAGGTACCGGAAAACGTTTCAAAAGGTAATATTCTACAACCGACATGGACGAGGAGAAAGTCATGGCAAAGGTAGCAGTCGCACTTGATACCTGCACGTAAGAAGCCAAAAGATCAGAAATAACAAGCAATGCATAATCTTCAAAGTCATGATAAGAACTGGTTCTCCTTTCATGTTACCATCATTCCAATTTATGTATGAAGGATAAACTTCAAGTGAGAGCATCATACAACAGAATTGAAGGAAACAGAGACTCACTTGAGGAGGGACACCCAGCTCCAAGAATAGTGGACCCATGATAAATCCTCCACCTAGGCCGAGTAGACCACCAACAACTCCAGCTAATACTCCAAAAGTGCAGTAGGTAACAAGCTGGAGCACCCGAAAATTTGTGCCTTGATCTCCCTTGGATGAAATTACCCTATGTCCTTTATAGAGACTAACTGCCTCATATAGAGATACACCAAATGAAACTGGGATCTGGACAACAAAAGGACACATTAAATCATTTAAGCATCCCATTCAGCAATAGAAAGAAGCAATAGGGTTGAAAGAAGATAGAAACTTACCTGCAGCAAGTTCAACACCCAGTACGACACCGAACAAGTGGATGTACTATTCTGTTGCCAAAAGTCGTGTTTTATCAGTTACACCTCAATGATTCATATTCTTTTAAGTATTTGAACGATAATAAATATATATAGGTTATATGTGCCAGAAGCCCTCGAACTTTTGAAAAAAAAAACAATTAATCTCATTAACTTTTTCCCAATAATGCTAATATACTCCGGAATTTCATCATTTAACCCCTTAAACCAATGTTGACCATTAAATCCAATTGGTTTCTTAGATCAACTGATGTCACATTTCATGTAACAGTGTTTTCATGTGGCATTCCCAGAAATTTATTGATTTTTTAATATTTTTATCTTTAAGAAATCTGCAAATGCCACATGGAAGAACTGTGATATGCCAGGTGATAATAATATCTCGGAGAAAAACTGGTCAAAGAGTTTAATTGATTCAATTTCTTGGTTTGAGAATTCAATTGGGTGTAAAAAGAATGTTATAGGCTTAATTGATTTTTTTTTTTAAAAAAGGTTTGACGGCTTGAGAAACCCATAGTCAATATATATGAAAAAAAAGGCAGGGGAAACATAACCTTGGTAATCTGCAGTACAAGGAAAGTAACCCAAACAAAACAAAGGAGTGCAAGTTCTTTCCAATACACATTCTCCCAGACAGGGACCTGCTATGATTGTATTATTAGTTTTGAGAAAATTTGGAACTTATTAAAATAACAGCAGATTACAGTTAACCTACTTCTTTATCTGAGTTGTCCTTAGGAGGACCATTGTTTGGGGCGCTAGGAAGAGGCTTGTATTCCACATCTCCATTATCGGTATCTGAAATCAAATGAGCGGTTCATGAGTTCAAGTCAGAAGGAAAAACATGAGGAAAGGATCACTGAATGATCTTAAGAACCAATTAAGGAAACTGACCATTTGAGGCTGAACGCCAGGCAGCCTCCTGAAATCCATGACAAGCAGCATTCAGTTAACAATTAATTTTAACAATATATACACGTGAGAAAGTTTCTCCACTGTTTTTATTAGATTAAGCAGCAAAGACGCAACATTCTGAATGAAATTATCTGTATGTTGCCAGCAGTCATGATACTTTGAAATCGAACATCCTTGAAATCTTTTGATTGCTTATTGATGAAAATGGAAAGAAATTAATTAGTGATCAAAATTTTCAACGCATCAGTAAAAAGGATGAGTTACTAAATTACTTGTTTCAGTATGGTTTCCTTTTTCCATGTTTCAACACCCTTGAAGAATGCCTTTGTTGATGTTCCTGCAAACCATCCGAGGAATTGAAATTAACAGGTATTTCTACACGAATATATTGTGCGGCAAATGCAACAATCGATCAGCAACCATTACCTATAAAGAGAATAATAAGTAAAACAGTGACCATCCAATCTGCAAATATGACATTAAAAGTGACTCCAATGCTAATTCCCATCATGAGCATTGGCTGGATAAGAAGAGTCAAATCATAATCAATGATAGGCATATCCAGTGTAGGATGCCTGAGCTTAAGATTGTAATAAACAGTTGAAGCTGCTGCACCCATGATCATACCTACGAAATTTCCAAAAACACAGAATGCATTAATTCATTTATATTATAACAGAAAAATTCATAATTATTTATTAACAGTATTAAAGTTCTTAAATTGATTCAATTAGAACTAACATAGTTTTTAGATTCTTCAAAATGAACCTGTCAATTTATCTTGTTTGCATTGGTCAGGAAATTCCAAAATATTGAAATTAAAGTTGGCTTACAAGCAAACAAGTAAGCTCAGTTTTTGATTACAGAAGTATGGTCCACACTGAACAAGACGAGTAAACTTCGGTCCTTTTCTTCAAACCAAAGTTCAACAACAAATCTTTTAATAAATTTATAATAAATTCCCATTAAGCTCAAGAACAAATCAAACCAGATCAGAAAAGGGTTAATTAAAAGGAAAATACTAGGAAGTAGGAAGTCTTTCTCCTTTTTTTCATTATTATTAGCTTCATGAAAATCTCACCATCTTTTTCACATCTCCTAATGCTAAAATCTCGCCAGTTCAACCGTGTTCATATTATCATATTCCTTTGCAAAGAGCAAAGAAAAAAAATGAGCAGGCTTACATTTGGAAATGGCTGTGGCTGATTTTGCATCAAACCCAACAATAAGGCTAAGCATAGGAACAAAAATGCCTCCTCCACCAACTCCACCTACACTTCCAAAAGCTGCTCCAAAGAATCCAATTATACTTCCCACCACAATTTGCCAATTAAATTCCATTTCCTACGCCCCCCAAAAAAAAGAAATAGAAAGGTAATAAAATAAAATAATACAAATTAAGGTGATAGTGTTAAAATAAAAATAAATGAAAAAAATTGGGTTTTGTGATACAAAGGAAAAAGGAAATAGACTGGAATAGTTATACTTACTGGCCAAACATGGTGATAACCTGACTCATCAGATTTCCACAAGAAATTAATAGCTCTGAGAAAATAACCATTGATTGTTTCAGATTCCTTGACGGTTTCTCCACGTTTCAAGCTCCTCTCAGCTGAAACTAGCATGAAAGCTATACCAAAATTGAGGAAATTCAACAGTACCGACCTCAAAACACTACGTTTTACCCCAAACTGCACCATCTTTTTTTTCCCTTGCTGAAAACTGCTTCGCACTAGAATTTTCCTATTTGAACGAATAAGAAACTTTCTTTTTTTGAATCAAAATCTCTCCCTTTACACCGTTAGCTTTCAAAAAACGACGACAAATGGCTTCTTTGTTTCCCAGAAAAGGCAAAAAAAGAAACCCAAAATGCGTCTCTCGTATATGTTTTCCTCTGAAGATGCGAAAAGGGAGAATGTCTTTTAGTCTACTGCACAGTCAGATTATATAAAAGCAAGAAATAACACGGAGAGGTTCGGAGCTAAAGCTGGTGACGTTTAAAATTTAATATTTCTATGTGCGGAAGCTGTTTGTTTAATGTTTATGATTAGGTTGGGTGGTGGGTTGACTCTTTCTACCCATTTCGGATTCGGGTGGACCTCCGTATCCACCTCCTCTCATCGGGAATCACCCACTCACTTAACGGCTTACACTTCACCTTTACGTGTTATTATTTTGGCTAAGCTAAATATTTGGAAAATGTAAAAAAAAATAATAGGGATACATAGAAATTACTTAGGAAAATAAATAAATTTTATAACGTTTAATAAAGTTATTTTTAAACAACAATTAGGGTCCGTTGGTTTCACATAAAACGTTTTCCAGAAAATATTTTTCTCATTTTCTAATATTTAGTTGGAGGAAAACTGGTTGGTCAACGTAAAACATTTTTTTGGTCAACAAAATTTCTTTTGTATTTTCTGAAAAATGACTTACGGTCTGATTTTCCGTAAATCATTTTCTGAACTTTTCACTTCAAAAAATAAATACTCAAAATAATTTTATTTTATGATTTTAATATTAATAAAAATATTTTAATACCATTTTAATCAAAATATTAATTATTAGAATAATTAAAATATATTTATTAATATTTCTAATAATATAATATTATATTTTTAATATTATAATAAAATAATCAATTATATTATAATAATATAATATAAGATATTTATATTTTTATTTTAATAATATATAATAAATTATTAATAAAATTTATATTATTTATTAATTTCATACAAATAATATTATTAAATTATTAATAATGAATAATATTATTTATATATTTAATATTAATATAATAATCTAAAAATATTTTAATAAAGATATTTAAAATATACTAATTAATATTTTTAAAATATAATATAACATTATTACTTTAATAAATAATTAATATATTTTTTAATATTTTATTTCAATAAAATATATCAATATTAATATTTTTATTAATAAATTTATAAATATAATATTTTAATAATAAATAAATTATTTAATATTTTAAAAATAATAATATTAAGTTTTATGATAAATAATATTATTTATTGTATTTTAATATTTGTAATAAATAGTTTTTAAAAAAATTCATCAATGGGTGGAAAAAGGGTTTAAACATCTTCCAAACATCGTAAAAAGTTTTTCATAAAATGTTTTTCAGAAAATGTAATTCATTTTACAGAAAATATTTTTCGAAACACATTTTCTGTGAAACAAACGGACCCTTAGTTTATTTAGTAGAATGAGATATTAAATTCCTTAAATAATTTTAGAGATTCGAATTATGATGTTTGCATATGAAACAAACTCGGTTTGAAAGGTTATTATCGCCTCTGTAGTACCTACTTTGGGTTAGTCAATCAGTAGATTCGATATCGGTAGCTATAAAAAAATAAAGTTAAATTTTAATGAACATGGTTTATCACAATCATTATATTTTTACAAAAAAAGTTTATGGTAAATTACGTGTTTAGTACATAAACTATCAGTTTTGATCTGTTTTAGTACCTAAACTTTTAATTTTTTTTTCAAAATCATACCTAAAGTTTAGGTTTTTTTATTTTATTATCTCGTCGTTAAAAAAATAGATTTTGTTTTATTTTAGTACAAACCGTTAAAAACTTTATTTTTTGTTTCATTTTAGTATCTCGCCGTTTAAAATTTAACGCTAAAATTTTGAAAAATTAAAAGTTTAGGTACTAAAACAAGTAAAAACTAATATTTTAGGTATTAATCGTGTTAAATTTTTAACGGCATGGGTACTAAAACAAAATAAAAATAAATGTTATGTATGATTTTGGAAAACTTGAAAGTTTAGGTACTAAAATGGGATAAAATTGATAGTTTATGTATTAAACGTACATTTTACCCAAAAATTTATTATAAAAATTGTTTATATTAATAAATTATTTCATACAATGATTACATTTCAAAACAAAATAGATTTATTTTATTAAAAAACAAGATATATGTTTACGTACATGAGACGTGTGTTAATATAAATACAGTTTTAACGATTAACAATATAACTTTATAAAAAATCAACTCTAATCATTTAATAAGAAAATAAATTAAAGATTTATGTTTAAATACTTAAAAATTAATATCTAAATAATATAAAATATTAATTCCATTATTTATAATCATTATTTTATTAATTATATTTAATTTAAGTACTTCGTGACTTTCTAAAACATTATTGGTGTTGTAAAGCGTTCTTTTTTTAAAATTTAATCTTTATTATTAGCCTTATCTTTATTTACAGTATAACATTTTTCATTCACAGGGGAGCAAGTTGAAGGCCAACATCAATGGGCAAAACGACCCGGCGAAGGTTAAAAGAAAGAGGGACCCATATCAATTAGCACATGGAATCTTCTTTGTCTTGATCCTTTAGTAACACGTGGTATATGTTGATTAGATAAAGATATAATTGTATATATTGAAAATGAAAAATGTTATACGCCAATATAGTAAAGACAATACTAATAATATTTAGACTACGACAAATGATTCACTCTAGTCCATATTTGGTTCTTCAGTATCCTGAAGATTTATGCAATCTTTTTAATAAGGTTAACAGATCTGAAATCATTGAAGGGGTTCAAATTCATATAAAGACTGACAATCGACCGTTTATCTTTTACCGGCGACCGTATATTATTTGTAAATGTCTCTATTGATGATATTAAAAATTAACGATAAATTATACGAATCAAATTATATCAATGATCGAATGATATATGATTATTATTTTTAGAGATTTTAAATTCGAGTACCAATGACTATAAGATATTAAACATTTATAGTTCAACACTTGACACTTCCTACAATTATTACGACAAGATTACATTATTATGGATTTATTTTTTCATGTGAATATGGTTATTAGTAGGTGTATTATTATTTTTTACATGTGGGATTAAAACCCTTCTTCGGTCTTCCCTATGAAGTTGAAATAAGAGTCCTTGCATCAATTTTTTTTACAGGTGACTTTCACTTTTCTACCAAATCTACTCACCAGTAAAAAGTAAATATATACAACTGTAGGCAGATAGCTGAACGGAGATAGGGGCGTCAACGTTTCTACTGAAATATCACTCTTATATCTAATAATTATCTTATGATTCGTGCTTTATTATTATTGTATCATAAATAATGTTTAATAAATAATTATTGAGTCTAAAGTTGATATTTTCGTAGAAACGTCGTAGATAGGTGCGTACGTATTTATAACAAGGGCCACACGTCGTCAGTGCATTGATTTGACTTATCAACAGCTGTTACAGTTCTTATCAGTTAAATGAATGGCTCATGTTGATAAGTGTTGAAGTTGAACCGAACAGGGCACTACTTTCGGACAAAAAAAATAATTGGATCTGACTGTGTCATGACTCAAATATTTTATTCCAACGTTTCATAATATTTTTCTGTTTCAAAGTTATCAGAATTTTTTGGTCAAAATTAAATTCAGAATATTCATTTAGATTTTATGTATTTTATAAATTATTAAGTATATCAAAATTTATATATTATATATCAGTCGATTAAAATGTAATGTGATTCCATGCAGTGATGGATCTGAATTTTTTTTTGAGGATGGACATACGTATATTAATAATATAAAATTTTTATATTTAAATATATATGATAAAATTTTAGGTTGACACATATATATTAAAAGAAAAAAACTTTGAATTTTAAAAAGAAACTATAAATTTTATAAAATTTCAAGGTTGATGCGTGCCCACCCTAACTGCCATGTAGATCCGCCAGTACTTCTATGTATATATAAAATTGTAAAAAATTATGTAATGTTATAATTACGAGGTTGAATTGAATTTTATTTAATTATAACTAAAATGTATATAAATGGTAATTATAGAAATCAAATAAAATTCATATTTGTATTTAAATTTAAATTGAATAAAATTTTATTAAAATTCACCCCTATCTAATTTAAGTCGGCTAAAACCCCGTCTGTCGCCGTATTGACTATTGAGGTATGACAAAAAAATAAAGTGACGAAGGTTGCTGAAAATAATGGACTAAATGGGTTAGAATTAAAAATGAAGGACGAAATACATTTAATTATTGATTTCTTGCAACAGCCCTTGCATATTTTATTTAATTCAACACCAAAGTCAAAATAATTAAAGTATAGTCCACAAAACTCAACTAAAATTACTGCTGATAACGTGATTTAAAGCCTTTTTGCACGTGAGATCTCATGCGATTATTTCCATTATTAAATAAATTGTGACTGGTAATATATATTTTTTGTTCGACCAAATATTAGTACATATGTTGACGACACTATAAAGAATATCATTAAATTAAAGAATTAATTTTCGATATTCTAATAAGGGTTTGCGTTAAAAGTTCAGTCATTATTATAAATAATAAGGTAAACTATATCAGTGACTACTTAATTACAAGTTTTTCTTTTTTACCATTATTTTTGAATTCTTATTAATCATGCTATTCAACTATTTTAATGCATTCAATCAGATCAACTGCCGTTAACATTTAACAGAAGTGTTGATGTGGCAATTAATAACATTGGTATAATTATATATTTGGTAATTATTACTTATATATTCTTTCAATTTGGTCCCAATTGGAAGATTAATTTTATTTTAATTTATTAAAATTAAGACCAAGTTGAGAGAATATATAAGTAACAATGACTAAATATGTAATTATATTAATTTTATTAACTGTCAAGTCAATACTTCCGTTAAATGTTAACGACAGATAGACTGATTGAATGCATTTAAATAGTTAGTTTGTCTGATTGACAATAATTCAAAAATTATGCTCAAAATGAAAAGGGTTATAATTGAGTGGTCATTGGTATAATTTACTCTAAATAATAATATTGGTAAATGCAGATTAGTTTTAAAGAGGTTGGTTATTAA